GCTTTCCGGCCAAAATTCGACACATCACTTTAAAAACTTTCACACAAAGCGCACTTGCCTGTGAAAAGTTCAGCAAATAAATAAATATCCAGAAGCGCAGAGAGTTTTTTCGCACATATGCGGGTGTCAATGGTGAAAGGAATTCGTGAATCGAAATTTTAATATGCCACCATTGGCAGGCAAAACCACAAAATCACTGTCAATGAAAGCGGCGAGGAGAAAGGAGACACAATGCAACACCACACAGAAAATCCCACGCTTCTCAGTGGCGTTAAAAAGCGCAGAGGCGCAAAATTATATTTGCCATATGACTTTTTGCACACTTTCGCCTCTTTTTTACTTTTTTTCGCGTACAAAAGATATGCACACATGAATGATGAGCAAACGCATTTAATACGCAGTTTTTGTGCCTTTTGGCTACAATCACGAATCAAAGGTGGGAAGACACAGACATAGGCGAGCATAATCAACAAATGAGCTGAATGCCAGAGTGACGAGACTCGCATGGCGTGGTGGGCTTTTGGTGTGTGCCGAAATTAAAATTCCCATTGTTTGATATTCGAGCAATAAGCAGGATCCTGTGGTGGTGCAGATGACTTCAACAATCGTCCGCTTTTGTGTGTGTGTGTGTGTGTATGTGATAGCGCCTGTTGCATGCACCAAACAGCCTCATAACCATATTATGACAACAATTTTTTGTGGCGAATTTTTTTCGGATGACGCTCTACTGTTTTCGCATACGAATGAGTTAATATTACATTTGAATGGTTGGGGGTCATCGCGGGAGTACAATCCGGTAGTTTATTAAATTTTAACATCAAGCTAATATTTATATATGTGACAGTATGTGCGTGCAATTAAGTGAACATATTGTTCACTTTTGACAATATTGAGCTATTTCTTTGCGGATATGGTGGTGAAAAATATAATAACTGTTTGGATGGTGAATTATGGGTCTATTAAAGTGAGGAAATCTGTAGCAATGATATAACACTATTTTATGATTGTGTGCATTAAGGTGGCTCTTAAAAGGTAAGTCTGGTCCATGTACTCAGTACAAGCACCGATTAATAAAAATGCTAAGGGCTGCTAAGCTGTTAGCACTCTATAAAATTATTAAATAAATGAAACTTTCTCTTCCGATTAATAATAATAACAACAACAGGTCGGGGCTATGTCAATGCCCCTAAACTTTTAAAACACCTCTATGGTTCTAATGTCTGAGACGATCAGAAGACCTTTGTTGCTCGTTAATGAAAGCTTCAAAATGCTCTTCTTCTTCTTCTTTATTGACGTAGACACCTCTTAATGGCGATTAAAGCCGAGTTAACAACAGCGCACCAGTAGTTCCTTCTTTTCGCTATGAGGCGCCAATTGGATATTCCAAGCGCAACCAGGTCCTTCTCTACCTGCTCCTTCCAAAGGAGTGGATGCCTCCTCTTCCTCTGCTTCCCCCGGCTGGTACTGAGTCGAAAACTTTCAGAGCTGGAGTGTTTTCCTCCATTTGGAGAACTTTACCTAGCCAGCGTTATGTAACAGTCTGTTAATTATTTTTAAGTCTATATTAAGGGGTCATTTACAGTTAAAAGGCCTAAAAAAAAGCGAATTTTCCAGAACTTTTTCTGAGGAAATTTTTAAATTTATGGTTCCAAATAGCTTTGCACATATTATGGTATCTTTTATCCGTATTTTAAGACTTCGTATTAGTAAAAATATTTATTTGGAAAAGAACTACAACTGATCTCCGGAAGCTCCTCTCAAAAAAGGCGTTTTGCGGTGACCACTATATCTCTGAACTGGATGCACTGAATTAAAAAAAACCAAACAGATTTCGCTTAACTTTTTTTTTTTTTTTTTTTTTTTTTTTTTTTTTTTTTTTTTTTTTTTTTTTTTTTTTTTTTTTTTTTTTTTTTTTTTTTTTTTTTTTTGACAAAATGGCGGTTTCACAAAAATAAATAATCGATTTTTTACCAAAATTTTGGCCTTAAATTGTTTATAACAAATATTTATCGGTGAGAAAAAATATTCATTTAATTACTAAAATATATATTTAAGAAGAAGAAGAAGAAGGAGGCTAATCGAGGGAGGAGGCTTAGCCGATTTCGAGTGATGTTAGTTACTGACTTTGAAAACACCATTTTGAGAAAAACGCGTTTAAAGTTTGAATTGTACTTCCAAACACTGTGAAATTCATTTTCAAAATTGTGTTTAACTTCGAAAATATTCACCGTGACGATATAAAACTTTCTGTGTGTATTCTTTAAGAATAGATTTATATGTATGTGTACATTAAAAAAAAATCGATTTTTTGAAAATTGTAAAGGTATATGTATAAGCCTTATGTCTATATTAAGCAGCAGTCATGATAACGATATAATAAAATGTATGGCTATTTAAAAAAATTTTTTTTTTTTGTTTTTTTTTGTATAAATAGGAAAGTTGCAATTAACGTGCACACTTGCAATTATTTTATCACATACGTACATATATTCCGATATGGTTATAGCTTTATCAATTTCAAATATAAGTAGTTTATTATCTAGTTCTTGTTCAAACAAATTTCTTTATATTGTTGCTGTAATTTGTTTGCACTTATCTTTTCCTTCATTTTCTCCTACGTATTTGTAATATCAATTAGCTTGCACTTTCAGATTAGCATTCACAGAAAATTAAGTTCACTTACGTCTAATTTAATAAAAAGCAGTTTACACGTTAAAATTTGCATTTGTATTAGCTGCTTTTAATTAAAGACAAGTTTAATCTCCAATAATTGTATACATGAGTATGTAGATTTGCGCAAATGTCTGTGAGAACATACTACATACATACAAAATCAGCGCGAGCTCAGTCAACTGCTCTAGACCGTCAAGGCTGCATGTTGCACCCATTCGTGCCCACAAGTTCTAACTGTTAATTGGAACACAAAACTTTTAAATTAAAATCGTCACAAGCATCTCCCAGCGGTGCATGTCTATCAAACTCCTTTGCGATTAATCCTATATGCACTTGCTCATACATAAGCACATAAGTTTATACAGACCACTATGTATTTGAATTTTAAAACGGCAAAAAATTATTGTAAAACAAAAACTGTTTGGCCGAAGGAAGTTAATGTTTGCGCTTGAAGCATTTTTAATTAGTTTTTGCGGTCAAATGGCAGCACTTGAAAAATAGAGCGAAGAAAATATTATAAATTCAGCTGCTACGTAGCTACAACACCCTAGACTAAAACATTTCCTGTAGCTTAAAAGGGTTTAAAAGGATCTTTTTTTTATGATTTTGATCTGTCAGGGCTTCATGTCTAAGCTTAATATTAACACAAATTTTCTACACTGTCTAATAAAGGAACTATAAATATCGAACGCTTCTATCCTTACTCAATACTCTAAATAAACCGTTAGTCATGCCACACACACACATATGTACTATATACACATATTTACATTTGGACACTGTGTGCAACTCACTGACACTTGGCAGTACGAAGTAACAATTTAATCGCCAGCATCACCACTTACTTTTACCTCTCCCCCCAGCGCGTACTCTATCGCACACTCATGTATACCACCAAGTGACCCGTGGTAATTTGTCCAAATCACATCAACGCCAATAATAAAATCCTGCACCCTTCGTCGCACAGTCGGCATTTTGCGTAAGTTGTGGGGCTACAAAGTTACCAACCGGTGTGTGTCCATCAATCACAATTTAGCTAAAGTGTGGACATATGTTTGGAATCAGCAAATTTTTGGGAAGGAGTTGCATACATATAGCATACATATGTACATATTATATGTATATGTAAGTTAGCATAGAAAGATTTATTTCGTTGTAACTTTTGTAGACTTGGAAATATTGGAGGTTGGGAAAATTACGAAACTTGTGTGTGATTTCGAATTCCAACCAAATACAAAAAGGCACTATGCACATATGTACATGTTTATATTTGTTTGCTGCAACAGTGTGATATGCCCCATTTAATATGAATTAACTGGTTAAAAGTATGAAAATATCAACACAGTTTTAAATAAAATATGTAAAAATAACGTATTATTTGGTATTCGAATTGTTAAAAGAAATATGGTCGGAAGAGAAGTTGCCATTCGCGGCTGTATTTTGTGTTCGACAAGAAATTTTTTGATGGAGTAATGCCCATAAGAAGATTAAATGCCAGCACATAACTAATTTCCAATAATTATTATAAAATCTATAATTTATTTACGTACTTACATATTTTTAATTTAATGCAACAAGGAATAAGAACAGTAAGCCTCTCACATACAAAGCTCCGTGAATTTCGCGCTCGACAAGAGTATTTAATATAACGCAGCTGCTGAGAACATTACTAACGATTTTTACTCACGCGAATGTAAGTAAATAACATAAAAAGATAAATAATTGATTCACTATACACACCAATTTTGGTCTTTTATTTATATAAACAAAAGAAAAGCTGGATAATTTAAACAAACTTTTTAATGCAGGCGCAAAGAATGGGATTTAATTTTATTAAAGACAACTGTCAAAAAAATGAAGGAAAAGGAAATGGAAATAAACGTCAACACTGAACGCGCCCATGTTGTTACAAAAATTTTATTTGATTTATTGAAAATTTTTATCCTGAAATTATTAAGTAACTGAAAAAAATATTTAAAGATACTGAATAGCTCACCAATTTCACAATATTTCATAATGGAGTATTAATCGTGCATTCAATATTACTAACTTTATAAAATGGTTTGTTAATTATTAATAATTTTTTTATATTAGTATAACATAACATTTTTATAAAAACATTTAATCTAAAAAAGAATTACTTTGACCCACACGTTTTCGCACAAATGCCTCAAATAAACACACCACAACTCGCGACTTGGCAGCACTGCTCGCCAAAAAGGGTGTGTGTAAATGTGCGTGTATGAGTGCAGAGAACATATAATATTAAACGTTCTCTGGAGTGCGCACACGCATTTATTGGTAAAACAAAACTGCGATAAACGAAGGTCTAAAAGCGAATTAAGAAACAAAAAAAGTAGCGAAGCTAAAGTTGCAGCAGCATTTATTTTACACAGTTTTTTATGTAAAATTAAATAAAAATTAATATATTATCAACGAATTTTATGGTAAACAACCAGTTTAGCGATTGAGTAAAGTAAATCGAAAACGTTTTAGTACAAAATTGTGGGGGAAAAGTGAAAGGAACGACGTAGCAGCACCACCAGTAGCAGTACGGAAAAAGTGGATTAAGAAAACAACAAAAGATTGTGCAGCGGAGGAGCTGAGTGCGTTGCAAAAGTAAGGTAATAGGAAAAAATACACGACAAAAGAGGTATATTTATATACATATGCAAACGGCTGTGTATATATGGTAATAATTGTGACCATTGGCGGACCACTCCTGTCCATTTTTCTTATATGCATGCATGCACATACATATAGGTATATAAATTTATATGGTGAAATTGTAAATACTGCCGTTGAACCGGTGAAGGAACAGTGTCTTAAATAACAAAAATTAATTTCTGAGTACGCTGACTCAATTCGCTGTAACACTTGAATCACATCAGTCTTCAATCGCTGGAATGGATATGTTGGTGCCACATTGTCGCACTGCCACAACCTACCCTCTACCCCAGTCGCTTTAAAAGGTTGGTGTTGTTGCGGAAAACAAGAAAATTAGCGCTTTTAGGTGACTTCGATGTTATGATAGTCGCAATGATTATGGCGCTGATAGTAAACCTAATTGCGTTCATTTCGAAAATAGAAAATTTGGCCGACAGTAATGTGGCTCCCCCCATCGGACTGACGTCGCCGGCAGAAATAGAACATTAATGCTGCCAATACAATCGCCGGCTGACGGTTTGGCGTCCAGGGCGGTGTGCTTAACTTGTAGGGGGACAAGATCTATTTCGGTTGTTGCGCCGCTTATATTTTTTGTGTGTTTCGCGAATCATGTCGCCGGCGGACGTTCGCGTTTTGCTTTGTAGCAGGCTATTCACTCAAACAGATGCCCATTATAATTCGTCTTTTATTGCTCTTTTAATTTGTTATTCTTTTTTGTTGTGTTGTGTTTGATTTTCTCATTTGTTGTTTGTGCTGTAGGCGTGTTTTTATATTCTTAACGTTAAGCTTTTAAAGCTGTTCAGCGTGCATTGCACATTATTTTGTTGTGTGCTTTCTTAGATTCCTAAAGTCAACGTTTTTTATAGTTTGTGGCTTCAAATTTTGAAAATATAAGGATCGGTGAATACATATAACGCTTCAAAAAGGTGATATTAAGTTTTTGCGATAAAAATACATCAGTGCTTCCTTTCCTTATTATTCCTGGTAGTAATATAACCATTGATAAATGTGCATATGTTTTTAAAAGAGCAAGAATATTAATCCATTTTTTATAGCATGATACTTATTAATGTGCTTAAAAATTAAACAAAGAGTTAATATCCTTAAGCTTTGGTCAAAATGTCATATGATTTGTTCTTAATGCATGACATAGAAATGCATGCACAGCTATGTACATATCTGTTTGGCAACACTATTTCTGACATTCCATGCAAAGAAAAATGAAAGACAGTAAATATGCTCAAGTGGCAAATTGTATTTAATTAAATGTATCACACTCCACCAAAGCTGCAAGCTACATACATTCCATTGTTCCACATTCGTTGCTGAAGTTTAATTTATTTGATTATACAATTCTACCGGCCACACCGACTTGCATTCATACTCAAGTTACTGACACATATTTACATTTGATAAATATATTTTACAATACGTTCGTTATTCTTTTTCGCAGATGTCGACAGGAAGGCCCATTAAATGTGTCGTCGTTGGCGACGGAACCGTCGGCAAGACATGCATGTTAATTTCTTACACCACAGACAGTTTTCCCGGCGAATATGTGCCTACAGTGTAAGTTTTAATCAAGTTCAAAAAAGACATATATTTAACTTCGTATATTTTCCACACAGCTTTGACAACTACTCTGCGCCCATGACTGTGGATACAATACAAGTGTCGCTGGGTTTATGGGATACAGCGGGTCAAGAAGACTACGATCGCCTACGTCCGCTCTCCTATCCACAAACCGATGTATTTCTCATATGCTTCAGCGTGGCCAGTCCATCCTCTTTTGAAAATGTCACATCGAAATGGTATCCTGAAATAAAGCATCACTGCCCGGATGCACCGATTATATTAGTCGGTTAGTAGCACAACATGCAAACTGCTTCAAAAAATTTTTCAGTGTAAATTATTGCGCTTTATTTAGGTACCAAAATTGATTTGCGCGATGATCGCGAAACGCTTAGTCAACTAGCCGAACAGGGTTTGGCACCGTTGAAACGTGAACAGGGTCAAAAGTTGGCGAATAAAATACGCGCCGTCAAATACATGGAATGTTCGGCACTTACGCAAAGAGGATTGAAACAAGTTTGTAAAATGCATACATGAAGTGGATTTCTGTTATATATTACATATTTGCAGGTGTTTGAAGAAGCTGTGAGAGCTGTGCTCAGGCCAGAACCACAAAAGCGTCGTCAACGAAAGTGTATAGTTATGTAAGATATACAGCTTTGCTATAGTGAAACAGAACAAATATTTAACAAAAGCAAACCACTCACTTACCTTACGGCAACCAACACACAAACACAATCAAGGCGTCAACTCGTGTCTAAGAAATCCAACTCGAATATTAATTAACTAACTGATATAAGTTTAAAGTCGGCGAATATCAAATGTGTAGGCAGCGACAGCTTGAGAAATGTGTTGTGGTTTCATACTTTTTTTAACTTTTTGATTTTTTTCTTAAAAGTTAATTTCTTCAATAACTGCAAAATTAGGATTTTTTCGCTCTTCTTCAGTGGACAATATGCATTTATCATAATTTTTTTAGTTGCCAGCTTTTACTGTAGACAATAGTTGTTATAGCGCAGTTGTTCCAAATGAAAAACTGCCCTAGCATAAGGTTGTCTACACCTACATATATTCAAACCAAGCAGCAGCTTATTAACGTTGTGCAGCTAGCATTTGTTTGGAAAATTTCGCCTGCACCGCAGCGGCAACCAAACAAATTTTATTTTAAGTCTCAAATTTAATCAGCTGATTACTCTTTGTTATGAACTGTAACTGGACAAAAGAAAATAGCTTATCTAGTCAATTGAGTAATGAGTAATGAGAAAAGCGAAAAAAATAAAATTAAAAATTAAGTGAAAAGTTGAAGCAACAATAACAGTATATAAAGTTGTTGTATAAAGAATTAAAGAATATTGAACAGATGAGAAGTTGGTTGAGCGCATTGTGGCGCATACCGAATTGAGCTTAGACAAAAGTAACAAAAACAAACTGTCACTATGTGTTGTGACACAACAAATTATAGCACCCACTTTAGTTAATACTCTAACTTTTATTTTAATAACTTTTTGTTTTTTGTTGTAGACACATACATACCTATTTACATTTGTAGCACGAAGCACAAATGTACACTCTATTAGTAAACTATTAAAGGAATTTAGTTTTGTTAAGCATTAAAAAAAGAAAAAAAAGGTTTCTTTTACTTTAAAATTTTTGACAGTATGGTGACAGATATGCAATGTTGCCACCAACCGCCGCTGCATACATCGTCCTCCAAGCCCTACGCTCACACAGCTGCAGCGGCATTTTCTTTAGTAAGCTACATTATTCATATCAATTTATTTTTTTTTTACCATTTTTAATATGTTGGCAAACAACATATATATTTATGTATGTATAAACTAATATGTACGTCACAACTAAACATTAACGACTGTTTAATTTAATAATATTTTTTATTTTTATAACAAATACATTTTCATTTGCCATTTTAACTATTTATTATGTATGCATAAACATTATGATTTAATTATTGCAAAACAGTTACTATGTAGAATGTGAAGATATAATGTAAAAAAAAAGTTCGTTACCCGAATTTTATAAGTCCGAAAAAAAGTTAATAAACGCTAATAAATAAAATATGTAATCTCTTCTTTATCTTATGCATTCAACAAACTCACACACTCATGCATTACTCCGACTTTTAATATTTTACATCTTATAAACAAATTTTTGCAATTATAACCTCAAAGATTTTGAAAAATGTATTTAAATGTTATTTGTAATTTTGTATGAGAAAAAAACAAAGATAAAGAGAAAAATAAATGAATACATATTTACTTTATATATTATTATTGTAATAATAGTAAAAGAAAAAAATCAAAAATAAGAAAAGTAACGGCAGTGAAGTAGATTTAATAATGTATGTATAAACAAAATGGAGGAGAAGAGCTACTGTGAAACGAAGCGAATATATATATGCAAAAGAATAAAGTAAAATGAACAAAGGCGAATGGTGAATTTATTCCAAACATTAAATATTAAACTGTAGTATGTTGTTGCCGTTCCCGCGACAGTAGGTTCTACGTAATCGGAACGGACCCGAATTTTCAACCGGCCAAGGACCGTCAAACCGGCAGCATTCCTCCAAATGACTTCAGAAAGGTTTTTGCCGCTGAAACAACAACAAAAAACTATAGCATGGTACGTTTTAATAACATTTAATTTTTTTTATAAGGAATGTTGTGCTAGCTGAGTTAGCTCTGTATATACACTTGCTGTCAACAATTTTAAGAAAGTAAATATGTTAAACTTTCTAATTACTTAGTACTAGAAAAAAGCCCAATTAACGATTATTAAATTACTTTATTTATTTCAACATCTTGATTGTAATTTAATGACATATTATTTTATGCAAATTTGGTGAATATTTAAGTTTTTAATTTAACTATATTTTATGGAATTCGTTGCCTTTTCGCTCAATTTCGTCTCTCACATATCGCGACTTGTATTGTTGAAGTCTCCTTTGCGGTTGCGCAAATGATTTTCACAAAACACGATGAATATATTTTACAATTTGTGTATGTATATGTTTTTATGCATGTACCGGTGGTTATTTAATGGTTTTTGCTTGTGTTTTAAATTTTTGAAGACATGCCTGGCGCATTCTGGAACATGAAACGGTGCTGCTGACTAGTTTCTTTCATATAATTAATGGTTTTTTGTATACATATAAACATATGTATGGATATGTAAGTATCTCTCTACCTAGTACAGGCGGAAGGGCTTTGGGTGTACCACTTGTCCTTGTTTTTTCTTGGGCCCAGCACTTTTGGGACGTTTTTGTTCCGCATTCAGCGATGGCATTGAAACCGAGAGCACCAGACACTCGGCCGGCAGCGACATGGATGAAGTGATTGTTGTGGCGCGTTGTACCTTCTGCACCTTCCAATGCTATACGATGCAATTCATGTTTGAAGAGTAATGGTGAAAAATAGTTGCATTAGATTAACAGCAAATATAAATTGATAAATAACTGAGAGTGTTTTAAAGTATAGCATATTAAATTAAGTGCATGCATTGTGAATTGTTATTATTTTAAATGTTTATTTTTAATTATAATTTTTTAGGTTTTTTTTTATATACGATTTTTTCATCAATGCTTTATAAGTTATAATTTTTTTTATGTTTTTTTTAGTTTATGTTGTTTTTAAATTTTTTTTAATATTCGATTTTATCATTACTGTTCTTTAATAATTCAAAATTAATTTAATTTTAGTTGTTTTTTCTAAATTTTTTTGTTTCAAATTTGTTTTCTATTTCATTTTCCTTTGCTTTTTATGTTACGTAATATTTTTTCCAACTTAATAAATTTCATTAAACTATTTTTTTTCTATTAATATGTTGTTTATTAAATTTGAATGGGTAACAACTTTATATTCATAATTTATTTATTTATTTATAATATTTTTTAAATGAGATATTTCAAAATTATTAGATATTTTTAATTTATTGTTCTTTAATTAGTCATTAGGAGATCAATATCAATTATATTAATTTATAATTATTTTTTCAATTCATTACTAGTTTTACATTTAAAATTTTACACATTTATTTTCGTATTATTTTTTTTTTAATTAAGTTTCTCATTATTTATTGAAGAATGGAAAAAATATTTAAAATTCGTTCT